AAGTTTGGGGCTCGGGTGGCTTCCCCCCGCGGAGGCGTCGACCCCGACGGGCGCTGGTGCCCGAGGGGAGGAGAGGGAAGCCTCTGCTTGCGGGCGGGGAGGCACGGCTCGGCGCCTTTCACCTGCTCGGGGTGACTGTGGGCGAAGCAGCTGTGGGCTTGAGGTTTCTTTTGCTCTTGGTGGCCATTGCCGGGTTGACTTTTTTTTTTTTTTTTAATTGTAATTTGTGGTCGTTGCTCGTGCATGTTGAACAGAGCCCTCGTTCAGGAAGAGTGGGATTTGAGAAATGGTAGTGTTCGTCGTTGCATTAAAATGCAGTTTTTGCTTGACTGCCAGTTTTATCACAAAACTATAAAAATGGAAATACGAGGAACTTCATATTGTCGTATGCAGCACTGGAGCTGCACACAACTTTCTGTGCTTGTGGGTCACAAGCACATGGTAGAGGTTACTTTGAAGACTGAAGTGTGAACCAGAGCCATGATCCATAGTTGTATTGTTTTGTTGTTGGCTGTGCTGTCATTGCTGTACTTTAAGTAACCTATCTGATATTTGCAGACTAACGGACTGTAGTCCATATTTAAAATAAGGAGTTGTGAGGAAGGTGTTCAGCTCTGACCTGTCAGGCTCAGCATAGGAAGGTTGTAGAATATCGTATATCACATCATCAGATTGATAGCATGAACAAAATCTTCTGGAAATGTGTTTAATTTCCTAGACTTACTGAGAAAAAACAGGCAGTTTCTGAAAATAAGACATCATATTTTTAGTCCTATGATGTCAAAGCTCATGGAAAGATAAGGATATTGTAAATCTCTGTAATTAAGATGTTATACAAAAGCTACGTAACTGTATGAACAAGCATATCCCTTAAATGCAATTGCTGTCTTTTGTAGGAGAAAACCGACATAGAAGGGACCTTATTTGTGTACAAAAGGTAAGGGCGGGGGGGGAGTGTCATTTTCCTTCCTTAAGAAAACAAACCTCAGATGGCTTCATGTGTAGCTTTCCTACTGGATTTAACGCATCCAGTAAACTCATAATTACTTATTTGTCCAGCTGTTAATGTCTGTGTACTCATTTGAAAAGAATAAACTCTGCACATAGGTGAATAACTCTGAAAAAGCACTTAAAAGTACTGCTGAAAATTCATAATTGATGAATGCTGCATGTGTATCCACACAAAACCCTAGTTTATTGAGCTTATTTGTTAACACAATAGCGTTTGTTAATGTATTGAGTTTGTTAAATGCTGAGTCTTCCTTTGTCTCCTAAAATCCATAAGGTTGATTATGACAATAATACAGATGACAAATTAAATAATCTGTCCTAACGCACTATCAGGAAACGGCAGAAACTTTTGTAAATGGATAAAGTTGCTTAAAAGCTGGAGATCTGCTAGTGTGTAGTTTTGGGGACTACTTGATTTCCTCACCAAAACCATGAAAGACATTTCTGATTATATAGGATGAGAAAAGGGGTGGGAGGGAGAACTGGTGCATAAAACCAATCATGAATTTAAGTTTTAAATTACACACAAATCAAAAATCTAACAATGAAATAACACTCTGTTGAATATAAGAAATATAAATGATGCAGACTTAAGCCATCCTGAAACAGACTGTCACAGACTAGGTCATTACAATATTTTATCCTGGCACTGTGAAGGAATACTAGTAACCAGTTCCTGTCTACTTTACTTTAGCTCCAAGCTTGGTAATACTTAGTGTAAGAAAGCTGACCAAACTGAAAACCAAAAAACCAAGCAAAAAGTTTCTGTGTGACTAGCTGATTATTTCAAAGAAGTTCTGTTAGGCGCATTAAAAGACTAACTTATGATGGTAAGCATTGTTTGCCCCTTCCTTAGAAGCTCTTGACAGATTGTGCTATTGATCATTCAGTAAAGGTGGCCACATTGTTACAGAAATCTTAACATTTACTAGCTAATTATATCTGATTTTTACCCTGCCTTCATCACGCTGCTGTGTTGATCATGTGACTGCTTACAGGCACAGCTGAGTATGCTGATGTGACATTCATGCAGCAAGAGAAAACAGATCTAAAACTATCTTGAACTTCCAGTGCTTGCTTGCTTGATGTTTTCTTTTTTCTACCTGGTGTCTAGCAAAAATCTGGATAATAAAAATTGTTTCACTAAGCAATACAGTTCTGAATAATTTAATATCTACTTTGAGGACACTGGGTTAAGTCTTTAAGAGTCTCCTTTTAGGAAGAAATAACTGCTTATGGTTCTCCTCTAAGTGTATTTCATGTTATTTAAGCTACCAGCTTTTTTTATTGTCATACCTATTTACAGTAAGGTAAATATTGCTGTATAAGTGGTTTGTTTTTTCTCCTCTAATAAAAGATTCTAAAATGCCTCAAAACTATCTTATGTGAAGTATTGAATACACTTGCATTTTAATCCTGGACCTGCCCTAGGTTTTTTTTAATAGATTTTTTTGTTTTTGAGGCATATCTTTGATTCAGCAGTTTAGCAGTGTAGAACTGTAATGTTAATCCTAATCCTGCTTTGAGTTAAGTGTAGTTTTAAATTGAAATTAGTTGGTATGCCAAGAAATGGCATAGAAGAACAACTATTAGAGCTTCAGGACTGCTAAAGCTTCACCTAATAAAGCAATGGAGATTTGAAGATTAATTCCTAACTCTGTTTCAGAAAATTGTATGTGTTTGATCAAGGTATTAATCCTTGCTTTTGTTTGAATTGAAACAATAGGTCAGCTTCTCCTTATCATGGTTTTACGATAGTGAATCGACTGAACATGCACAACCTGGTTGAACCAGTAAATAAAGATTTGGAATTTCAGCTCCATGAACCTTTTCTTCTCTACAGAAATGCTAGCTGTGAGTATAACTTTCTTTAATCGATATAACCTTCATGTTCTGTTTTATAACCTAGACCATTTCTGATTACGGTGATGTCTGGCTCAAGTATAATGTAATGAGGCAGGTTCCAATGAAATGTCTGATGATGTTATCTGTCTACAGTACTAAGTTTATTTAAATAGCTGTGCTATTATATTATGACAGCCGTGTGCTTTCAATAAAAAGAGGATATACTAACGAAGTTCAATATTGCTATATTCTTTTTAATTAATGATCTGAAAGGTTTAATCTAAACATATACACAGTGCTATAGCATTAATAAAAAAAACTATGAAAGAATAATGAAGATTGATAGATTTTGAAAGTACTTAACACCAAGAACAGTTCTAAGGGCTGCTTCTTTTGCAAGCAAAAAATTTAAATATTAATCAGTAGCTGCCTGAAGAAGTTGAGAAAATTGCTCAGCTCTAGGTTGAAAGTTTCTTTCTCCACCATAGGTTTTAGACTCAGGAGATAGATGTCTATACTAAATTTCATGGAGACTCCAGCAAGTCTGGGTGTTGGGATAGTTGTTATACAGATGAATGGTAAAATAGTAGTCAGTATTTTCTTGCTGCTTTTTGAATTCTAGTAGTGTTTTGGGTCATCAGTTGAGCTTCAGAGTCCCAGTATACTGTGTTACAGTTAGGTACATGCTAAAAATCCTGTTACTCCAAAGAGCTCAAAGTATAAATCATGTAGCCCTTAAAGCGAGGAAGAGGGAGTATATGTGTACATGAAATTCACATTAGGTTAAGTATATAAATAAAAGGCACCCCACAGAGCAAAGGGTCCTCCTGATACAAAGGTATCATTTCATGTCCTCTTTTCTAGGCAAAGTTCTTGAAACTAGTTTGCTGCTGTCTAGTGACAGGTTCCCCTTACTGAATTTCTTGGAGAACCTGTGTGCTGTCTGGATACAGTACTTCCTCAAAACCATGTCTGCTTCCTATCAGAATGTCCCCTTGAATTACAGATAGGAACACTGCTTTGGCTATGCTTCAGTGTACCTAAAAGAACAGTCAAAAGTTAATCCCTTCCTGATTCCCTCTTGGAAAGCCTCTAGGATCTGTGGGGAGTAGGATAGATTCCATTATGGTGACAAAGAACAGCTTAAGGTAGGTGGTCTCCTCTGTTTAATAGTCTCAGCAATCCTCCTTCTGTAAGTGTCATCAAGAGGAAAATGTCAAAACTTGTCAGTAAGTTGAGAGGCCTAGGAGATTAGGGAAGTAAATGACTGGCAAGAAATTGGGAGGGGAAAAAATATTGCATTGAGTTGGATGTTTAAGTAGGTTGCTGGGTATGGAAGGAAGAGGAGCTGTAGGTGATGGTGGTAGGGGTAGGATGACCAGTGAGGTGGCAGTAGAGGAACAAATTGCAATTGTGAGATTGGTGACATAAGGGAAGCAGGAAGTTGATTCATTTGTTTGTTGGAACTGCTGATGGTATCAGGAAGCAGGAACTGCTGTGCAATTAACATGGTGTGTGTCTAGTGGGAGTGACTAGAGGATCACTTAAAGGAAGCAATCAGAGAAGGCAGGCTGAGTGTGAGTTCATTAGAAACCCCTAGAGCTAATTATATGCTTTTCTCTCATTGATAAAAGCTCTCCTTTTCCTATGGGACACTACTGTGTAAGATCTGTGGGAGGCTCATGGGAGTTAGGATAGAGATGACATAGAAAAGTACGAGGAAAGAAGAAATTCATACAAAGGTGAGCAAGGAAAATACTATAGACTGGATATGGGAAATAACTGCATTCTGAAGTAATCAAGAGTATTTTTTTTTCCTCTTATATCTTTCCCATTGTCATTTTAAAAGACTTTGGTCAGAAACTATCCTTTATTTCGTCACTCTGTCCTGTCTCCTGGAAGAGGGTGGTAGCGTATCCAGAAACAGACTACACTGATTGCAAATTGAAAATGTTCAATGTAGTTAGTATGTCATTAGTTATTTCCCCAAGTGCCACAAATAAGCAGCAGATCAGTTTGTGTGCTCTGCTAGTATTCATTTTGTTCAAATACAATCTTAAAAGCATAGAAAACAACATCTAAGCTTTTTATTCCTTATTATTTCAGCACCGCTAACTCCCTTATATTTTGCCTTTAGTTGTTGTGTTTTGGATTTTCTTCCTCACATGCAGTTTTCCAAATTTTCTGAGCTCTGTCCCCTGAATTACTTAGAAAAAAACAAATTATATGATTGAAATGTTCAGTGTTAAAACTGTGTGCCTCTGTCTGCATGGTATTCATGAAACTTTTTCAAAAAGCAGACAAAAAAAACCTTCTGGATTGATTTGGATTTGCAGATGATTTTCAACATGTTTATGTTTTATTTCTATGGGTAGATTAGGGGATTCTTGTCCAAGTTCTTTTCACACGGAAGGGTGTCCACTTCTGCTTAGCTGCCTGCTGGCGTGAAAAACCTTTGCATTTTTGGGACTAATTCAAATCGGAGTTTTAAGCCAGTGGTTACTGTAATGTGTATCTCTAAGGGCTTAATGTGGTGTATCTCTAACAGCTTAATGTGAAGTTTTACTGAGATCCTTTAATGACTGAAAGAGGACGCACTAGGTTGTGCAAGGAAAAACTACCTCTTACACAGAGTGTTGGCAACAGCCTTGTTTCTTGTAGAGTGGTTTTTTTGTATCCTGCTTGAGGAAATCTACTGTGATCATTAGAAACTTAAGAGTAAGTTGTCCTGCTAAGATTGCTGAATGTTTGAACTGATGATTCTTTTTCCTTAGCTTACAGATGGGGAATGGTTCAGACTACCTGATAAAAACCTAAAATCATGTTTATTAATACTGCTGTTTGGCAGAGACAAGCCTATTTTGTGCCTGTATGTTTAGGTTGTGACAGCATCAATGACAAATCGTGGTTTACACTTCCCCAGGGCATGGTAGAAATAGTAGACGATGATCAAAGCAAAATTATACCACCACGTATTCGGGGAAGGTTCCTTGTCAACAATCTTTATAACTGAATATGATACTACTGTTTTATAAACTTCACATTTTCACTTTGTTCTGGGATTCTGTCTCAAGAAGATAAGGGTGAAGTCTGTTATGTGTACCAGATCAGACCTCTGGCGTTTCTGTCTTAAATGGCATGAGAGCTGTTCTGCGTATATCAAGTGACGTACTCCAGTCTATGCAGAGCCGCTAACAAGTTATATGAGAAATTTTGTAAGCAGTATATAAACATTATTTTTGCTTGGCTGGAGGCTATAAGAATGATTTGCCTGTCATGCTAGATCGTAATATTTTTGGTGGGTTTTACCATTCTTTTATGGTTTGATTTGTTCAAATATTTATTTTTAATATACAACAGAATTTTTAGTTTGCTGAGTATCAGAACTTACTTTTGTTAAGCTGTAGACATGAGATCCTTTATCCAGTTGCACAAAGGCTTTTTCATACTTTTAGAACAAGACTAGGTAATTGCCATTTTATTCTCACAGGAAAGGAGGCCTGACTTATCTTTCATAGCTGTTGGGAGGGTTTTCCCACTGTTTTTGCAGGATGGGATATGAAAGAGTCTTTCATAGGTATTCTGGAAGGAGAATAGACCAAGTGATACAGTACCTTTCTCATATCTACCTTTTGTTGTATTCACTGAGTGAAATGGAAGACATCTGGGTCAATTTGTTATTCGTTATTGTGGTTAGATGTAAGACATGTAGAGACTTCCCCCCCTCAAAAAAAACCCCAAACTTTTTAATATTTTAGCCATTAATAGGGCAATCTTTCTCAACTCCAGATTTTTTTTCTCCTCAAAATCATTCTGGCTACATAATACAGTTCAAGCCCCAAAAGAATACTTAAACCCCAAATTTTGAGAAAGGCTATGTCTACTTTAAAAGTTGTATCTAATGCTGCTCAAAAACTTATACCATGTATTCATGAGGCATCAGATCCTAATGCAAAAATGACAGGGGGTGTGACTAAGAAGCTGTGAGACATTATATCAGCTACAGTGGTAAACAGAAAAAAAGGTAGTCTGCTTTTCATTGTTAGAATTAAAGAAAGCAAATATCTCCAAAGGTGAACAAATCAAGAAATTACCAAAATGAAAATAAATTGTTTGACTTAATGTAATATTTTTAATTTAGAATTTCTCTTAAAGGTAGAATTTTTTTTAGGTTATACTTCATACTTAATGTGCTATTTATTATTGCTCAATCTGGAATATGCGTTGCTGGGTACATTTGATCCTTTTCTAACTTTCCCTCTGGACGCATGCACATTCTTTAGATTATTCAGAATATTTGTTCATGAAGCACTGAATCCCATTGACTTCTTTTCTTTAATGAACCTAAGCCTGTTTCCTCCTGTCTGTATTTTGGGAAAAGTATGTTAAACTCTGTTAAAAAAAAAAAAATGCATACAGTTCTGCCAGTAACAGTAATAATAGTCCAATCTGAAAGTTCAGTACTTTCTTTCAATCTCTAATGTGAGAATTTGGAGCTGATAGTTGATAATTTGCTTAATAATAGAGGAAAATTAGTCAAAGTTTTAAGCAACAGCCAACTTACCTCTTAAAGTCTGCAAGAAGTATTCTTCTAAGTCTTTCTCGTTTATAACTTTCCCTCCGTATCGGCGGTGTTGGTCTTGATTAAAAGGCTTTTTAATCCAAGCTAGTTCACTTGGGAGGTCAGGCAGATTGATTTCCATGGTGCTGAAAAGACAGATGCTAAGCATAAAACTTAGGTATTAAAATAAACGGTCCTTGTTTTGTGTGGGTGTTTTAGGTTTTTTTTCTTGCTTGCTTTTTATTCCTGTCCAAGGGTAAGAGTTAGTAAAACAAAAATAATGGATTTTGGAGAGGTTTACAGGTGTAAGTGGAAAACTCAGTTCCAAAGTGCTGTCTTCTGGGCTTGTTGTATTATCATTAATTAAACAAACTTGTATTCAGAACAGCAAAAGTAAAATGAGTTGCATTATTTCAAGTGGCTTTTAAAATTCTTTGAAAGAGCTCCTGACTGGTTTCAAAACAGGGCATCTTTACTGGTAAGTAAAGTCTCTCATTATCACCTTAGTTCCCGGCTGGCAGTGCATTAAGTATAACATATCTTTCTGATCGCCGAAGCTGAATGGCGCTCCAGCAAGCGCATTAACCCAGTGGTTTAGTCTGTGATAAGAAAGGAGTCTGTTCTTGATACCTTTATAGCAGAAGCAGCGATGCAAGCTAGGGGGAGGGGAGGAACCATTGAAAGCTGTTGAGACGTTCTAAAAATATTTTGTTTGACCTGAAAAATGGCACTTTAACTGGAAGGGGTTTTCTGCTCTGGTTCGGTGAGGCAAAGTAGTAATCCCTCTTATTCCACGCTATACTTTGTCAGATGGCAGTTTGTTGAAGTGTTCCTGATCTTGGATGCTGATTGCCACCTGCTGAATTACTCCAGTGCAACTGCTTGTGGGATTGTGCTGTGAACTGTATTTGTGAAATGGCCTTAGATATTCAAAACAATAAGAAAGGGAGGGACTTTTTTTATTAATTATAATGATTTATAAATCTATATGGCAAGCTAATATTTAAATTGAGGAAAATATGAATAGTGAATGAGGAATCTCGGTGAAGAAGATACTAGAGCAGATTGACTGAGGAGAGGTGGCATTTCAGCTGACCTTGCTGCTGGAAGGAATATGAGCTTTGAGAGAGATTGCTTTATGTGCTTTTCCCTTAAACTCTGTTTGAAGTGTAAAAATTATGCATATAGCATATATAAATGATGTATATATGTGCTTTTCTTTATGGGAATGAGATCGGGTTAAGTTGATTTCCATGATTACCTTATAGGGTGGGCTTCAAAATATGAGTCCTTCCTTTCCAGAGAGAGTTTAAAAGGTTATGGTCCTCTACTTCCAGTTGTTCTGCTTCATTGTATAGCAACATCTAAATTGGAACCGTAAAATAATACTTTTCTCTCTCTTCTATCAGTTCTTCTAACTAGTTAAGGTAACTTTTTAAACGGATCATCTTTTTGAATAAGATGAAGCTCTATCTGCACAAACGGCTAAACTGCCTGAGGCAAGAGAGTGATAGTGTCTGGAATCTCTGAAACTGGCAGTGTTGATGAGTCCCATGTACACTTCTTGTGGCATAGCATTCTCAGGCTATGGTTTCATGAACATTTTGACAGTTTTGCCTTACTGTGCTGCCCCTAGCTTCTTGTTTCTGCCCTCTCTCTTGTGCTAGATGGCATGTTCGTGAAGCTGATGCACAAACAGTATCAAGGAACTGGTCTGGACTAAAATGGATCCAGCTGACATAAGGGAGAGGGGTGAATAGGGGTAGAATGAGTTAACAGCAAAGTTGTGGGCATGTAAGGGTGGTGACACTGCTTCTTTCTGCTTACTTAAATGAAAACTGAAGTGAAGCTACAGCTTTGGGATGCAACTTCATTTTATGCTGCCAAAGAGTGAGGCGTCTGTCTCACTGTGGCACTTTGCTATCCCCACTCTTAATTCAGATCTGCTAACTGGGCAGCATTGGAACAGTGAGCTGACTGCCCCATGAAGCAATGGGAGCACAATGTTGAAGAGACCAAGATCTTCCTTTTGCTGTCATCCAGCTGTTAGCCTTGAGCAGGAAGGCTTCCATAATGCTTTTGTTTTCTCAGAATTTCTTTGTTTTCCCATAGCAATTTCAATCAAGTTTTCATGATTGATCCAGTGAAGTTTGGAGAGAAGTTGTGTGTTACATGTTTAAATAAATATTTGTGGGTCAGTGTTTCTAATAAAAATTACGTATGTCAGAGAAGAATGTAGATGAAGATAATTGATGACTTCTTTTAATTTTATGAAACCTGATTTGTCTGTGATACGGGTTACCCATGACTTCGTGTGTCAAAATGTAGTGTGAATCCAACTGAAAGATATTGCTACTGATGATGACAGACTGCTTCTACTCGATTACTAAAGATGCTGCCCAGCATTCAGTGTAGAAAAGCTGGATGGAAAGTGTTGAACTAGATGGAAAAATGAGTCACCTAATTTAGTGGCCTCTGTTGGATGAAACTCTTAAAAGAACTGCAGTAGAAAGATATGCCATTAGACACATGAATATTCAGCTAATGTTTATGCTGGATGTAGTAAAAAGATCACAGATTTGAAAAGAACTGGTGGGTACCAACTCTGTTTTTAATAAAAGGATGTTCATAGCTAATGTTGCATGCATGTAGGAAATACATCAAATATAGTAATGCCATTGGGACACGCGCGCATACTTCTGGGGCAAGGGAGCTGAACTGATAGTATAAATAAGTCCTCTTTTGAAAAGAGGAAGGTAAACATTCCAGCCTGTTGGACCATATCTAAGTTAATGCCCAAGTTTACTTGTTCATAATCTGCTTTACATCTTTGTAATACTGTTAATGTTTTGCAGTGACTCCCTGTGATTGCTTGCCAGTAGTACAAAGTGGAAAAAAGCCTGATACTCTGTATACTAAACTGAGATTTGAATCTACTTCTGGTCTTGTGTAGGCCTGTTTCTGGCAGAATTGAGTGTGACTTTTATCATTTGTCCCATTAAGATATCATTATAGGTTCCTTATCTTCATTTCTTCAGCAAGTATGCTTTTGAAGAAGCTTTCTTCTCTTGGCAGTTTGTCTGATAATGAAGTCAGGGAAGGGAAGGAG